CGTCAAACCCAAACCCTCACCTTTTGTTGGCTTTGAGGCAGGGCCTCACTATGTAACCCCGGCTGACCTAGAACTCATTATATAGACCAGGCTGGCCTGGGTCTCACAGAGAGCCGCCTGCATGTCTGTATCTCTCAAGTGCTGGGATAGATGGTGTGCATCACTACATCTGGCTTCTCACACTGTCTTTGGGGTGAGTCTTTAACTGATGTGCTCCACTAAGTCTCAAGAGATGTACCCTGAGCTCAGCAGCTCTCATGGGGGCTGTGTTTGCTAAAAGGATAACGGGAAACAATTGTATCTGGTTGTGAGGCTAGCTGTGCCCATTATGGGTACAGGTAAGACAGCCTTCTTTTTTTTTTAAGATTTTATTTATTTATTATGTATATAGTGTTCTGTCTGCATATATGCCTGCAGGCTGGAAGAGAGTGCCAGATCTAATTACAGACAGTTGTGAGCTACCTGTGGGTGCTGGGAATTGAACTCAGAACCTCTGGAAGAGCAGCCAGTGCTTTTTTTTTTTTTTTTTTTTTTTTTTGATTTTTTGAGGCAGGGTTTCTCCGAGGCTTTTGGAGGCTGTCCTGGAACTAGCTCTTGTAGACCAGGCTGGCCTCGAACTCACAGAGATCCGCCTGCCTCTGCCTCCCGAGTGCTGGGATTAAAGGCGTGCGCCACCAACGCCCAGCTGCAGCCAGTGCTCTTAACCTCTGCCTGGGCCACAAGTCGGGTGGACTGCTTGGGACTTTGGGTTTCAGAAGGCATCCTCTGTAACAGCCATTATCACACAAGGACCCATCACATGACACTGTTGAACAAAAGGGCCCAAGGCAAGACCCATGATGGCACTTGAGTAGATAGAGTTCAGAGGCACTGTGGTTCAAGAAGGACAAGGTTATTCTTGTTGTGTGGGGCCCAGGATCGGTCTTCAAGTCTGCAGGGCCTCAGGTGTCCACTGAGGGGGTGGAGCCCTGTGAGTCAGGCCCTCATGGTCCTGTCTGACCCTGAGCCCTCTGTCCTGTGGTTGGAATCTTGGGTAGCTGCTGAGGACAGCTGGAAAAACAGGTCTGAGTCAGTGCCTGGCTGTGAAGAAAGGTGACTGGCTAAATGACTCCTGATTATCTTGTCACCTCAGAAGTTCAGAGTAATGGGTAATGCTTTGTGTTCGGGAACCCCTGGGTAGCAGATGCAGTAATGATGGTCCCTGGCCCCACAGACTCTAGAGAACAAGGGGCAGCCACATCTGGGAAGCCCCTATCTGGAAGAAGAATGAGAAGACTTGACTATGGAAATAGAGTATAAAGATCTCTCCTTCAGCTGTCAGACCCTCAGCGCTGTCTTTGAGGACAAGAGACAGCAGTGAGTATACAGATACCCAGCCTCCTCCCTCTGGGAGCTTGGCCGTGGGAGAGGCCTTGCTTGATCCCTACCCCATGTGTAGACCCCGTCCTGTGTGCACAGGAGGTACCCTGGGTGAAGGTGTCCCCATGACTGTTGTCCAGTCGTTTCAGGAACCAGGCCTCAGGGACAGGAATCCCTCTTTCCTCTCACTCCCTCCTCCCTGAGTGAATCAAACACCACCCAGGTCTGAGTCAGCCAGGAACTGGTCACACATTCCTGGCCACCTGCCACACCTCTGGACATCACAGCTGGGTTTCAGGCCTGGGTCCAGGGCAAGGGAGAAGGCTGGGTCATTGGTTTTTGCTGCCTCCGGACCACCTGCCTCTGAGATCCCTCCCTGCAGAGGTGTGTGCGGTGTTTAGACCAGGCGCCAGCAACTCCATGAGAAAGGAGATAGGATGGTGGCTGAGACTTGAAGAGCCCTGGTGTTCATTGGACCCATCTTTGTTTCTCTGAGACTCTCAAGTGGGTCTGCTGGGTACAGGAAGGGGTGTTCCCTGAGCAGATCCAGCTCCACAGCTCAGTGTGTGCTAATAGTCTGCCTTTTAGGAGAGGAAGCTGGTATCACATCCCAGTGTAACATCCACTGTGTCTTCATGCCTCTGGTTTTAGCCTTTACATGGAAATTAGTGTTGGGCACCCAGAGTCAGACAGCCATGGGTTCAGGTCTCAAACCTCTAGTCAGTAGACCTTGGACAGGTGAACTTTTGAGCCTTGGGCTCCTAGCCTGTGACATGGGAGTGATGGACTATGGAGTCTGTGACTGTCTCTCCTTTGGTATGAGCCCAGTTGCAATACCAGCTCTTCCCTTCTGTGTAATACTTGTGGTAAAGGATGAGGCCACAGGGCCTATGGTTCTGGCATGATAGACAGTCATGCTGTCACTGAGCCCTGGAATGGTTCTCCTGTGTTGGCAGATTTCCCAGGGATCCTGCAGGGTTGGAGCTTGGGGTACAGGCTGTCCCTCAATTCCTGTACGATCTGCCTCAAGTCCCTGGACTCCCTGAGAGTTAGTACCCTGATCTGTGAAATGAAAGTAGGGAGACAGCGTGTGAAAAGCACTTGTACTTGGTGTACAGGAGGACATCCAGGGAAGAGGAGCCAGGGGGCACCTTTGTTTAGTGCATGGGACTGGACCTGCATTTGGTTTAAAGCCAGTAGTTTACTATGGATCCTTTAACAAGAGTTTGAGTATGCAACCCATTGTAGAGCTCTTGCCTAGCATGCACACAGTACTGTATTTCTTTCTTTCTTTTTTAATTTGGTTTTTCGAGACAGGGTTTCTCTGTGGCTTTGGAGGCTGTCCTAGAGCTAGCTCTTGTAGATCAATCTGGTCTTAAACTCACAGAGATCTGCCTGCCTCCCAAGTGCTGGGATTAAAGGCGTGTGCCACCACTGCCTGGCTCAGTTCTGGATTTCAACCCTAGCACCAACAATAAAAAGCAAAAGATAGTGAATGTTGGCACCATTTCAGAGTCGGGTTCACAGGCGTTTGCCTGGGTGGTAGCATGAGCTGCCTGCGTACCCTGACTGTGGAGTAGAAGGCAGGGATGGACAGCTACACACCAGTGTCTGTAAGTAGAGGATGCCAGCACCTACCTCTCTTGGGCTTTTTGTAGTCAGCCCCCACGTTACCTGCCTGAAGAATACCAGGGTTCAAACCCAGGCGTCTAACCCTGATGCTCCTAACCCAGCAAGCTGGAGCACCTGTTCACGCCGGCCGTCTTTCTGCTGCATGGTTTCTGAAGTACAGCTTGTCCACATTGTGCCTGGTGGGTCACTTGCCAGTGTCAGCCTGTGCTCCCAGCCTTTTGTCAACCCCTGAACCATTTTTGGGGTTCTTGCCAGCAGGGGAAAAGGCAGCATGCGGCCCCAAGGAGGGGCTTCTTCAAGCTCTCCAGTGTTGTGCACAAAGTGGCTTGGCTTCTAGGAACTCCTTGCTGCCTCACCACAGGAGGAGGGACTGGCGTGCTGAACTGTAGGGAACTGTTTCCCCTGCACGTGGCCCTGAACTCTTAGCAGGAGCCAGACACGGTTGGGCTGCCACGTTGGCCCTTCTGGCCTACATCCCCTGGACAAATGCCTTGGCTGGTCCCTGGGGTGGGCCCCTCCCCAGGCAGCTGTGCCGTTCTCTTTGGGAAAGCACTGACAGATGTTGTCGATTTAAATTGTTTCCTTATTAGACTCTCACTTAGGCCAGGGCTGCCTCTCAGCAGCCCAGAACATAGATTGCGTTACTAGGACCACTCATTCCCTTGAGGAACCAGGGAAAGCCTGGGGGTTCAGGCTGTTGCTAAAGTCAGGGGGGGCAGGCTGGTTAGCAGGAGTGGATGCCAGATGATGGAACTTGTTCTGGTGCCTGTGGGCTGAATCAGAGGACTAAGTCTCCAGGACCAAGGAGCACAGCGAGGGCTGGGAGGTCCCTGGGGTCCTGTCAAGTGTTTACCTCTCTGATCAGAGTTACCTGTAAGTGAGTGAAGAATGGCTTCCAAGGCCCCTAGTAGTACATCTCAGCTGGAGCTTATTTGGTTTAGTCTCAAGACAGCTTGTCATGCCTGGAGTTTGTTCAACTCTTAATTGGCAGAGTGCAGCTAAATGTGCCACAAAGAAAATCCTCATCCTGCACAGCCAGTGGTCCTGCAGGCTAGTAGACATGTGTATGCTCACTTGTGTCTGGAAATGCCTGTTTAGCTAGGATTTACACGAGCACCTAACTCTCTGCCAGTCCAGTGCCCCATATTGAGCATGCCAGTGGTGGTGGTAACTGTACCTATGGGCATTTACATTTACGTGTGTGTGTGTGTGTGTGTGAGTGTGTTTGCACATGTGTGTGCATGCTTGAGAGCATGCATCGTGTATGTCGGGATAAAACTCAGGTTGCTAGGATTATACACCAAGTGTCCTTTCCTGGTGAGCCTTTTAACTGACCCCTGATGACAATGTCTGGGAAAGTGAAGTGTTGTAGGTGTTCCTAAGTCACCCTGGGATTCCTTTTTTCTTGTTTCTTTCTCCCATGGCAACTGCTAGTCCTGCTTCCCCCATAGCACCAATTCTGGGGAGAGTTCCCTTGGGCCCATGGGTTCCTAGCAGCCTACAGCTATGAGGGAGCTCCCATGGCAGTCACTCCCTTGTCGCCTGTGTGGTGGAGACCCAGGGCCACCAAGCTCTGGGACCCTGCTGCACCTTGTAAGCAGTGACGCTGCTAGGTACAGTATTTGTTGCCGTGAGCGCTTTGCTAGGAACCATGAAGCCAGGCTCTGGGGTGACTCCCAATAGGGACATTGCATTTCTGTCAGAGAACCTGCCACGTTCCCCGCCCTCTGGGGCCTCTTTGTAGTCTTGGTTGTTGTGAGCCAAAGAGGCCTTTGCCTCCTCCATGGTGTCTGCTTATATCTTCCTTCTTTGCAGGGGTCAGGAACAACTGAAATGGCATGGTGGATTGGGGAGCCTCGTGGCCGGGAGAGCTGGTGTCCTGTGCGTTTGTTCCGTCCTGGCCCTCAGCTTCTTCACATGCAGAACAGGGATGATAGTTACACAGGCCTCAGGATTATGGGAGAGTTCTTTCAGTCCTGTACTCGAGCCATGAGTCCCACAGAATAAGCTTAAGACATGGGGGATGCTTTATTGATGTAGAGGGGCCAGGAAGCACACAGAGTAGAGATCCCACTCTGCCAGCTCGGTCCTGGACTTTAGGGAAAGAGGCCATGGTAACGGATGTGGGCCACGTTAGTGTGGGACTCTGATGGTGGCCAGCCACATTTCTTGATCCCAAGACACAGCAAGGCAGATGGTAGGAAGATGTGGCTCTGTCGACACTAGGTTGATGGACTTCTTTATGTCCCACTTGAACTGAGCAGACAGAAGGGGGTCACTGCCACAGCCTCATGCTGTGGGCCCGCCGCCTCCTCCCTTTCAGGCTGTCCTGTGTTATTCTATTGCTGGGGACTTCTTTTTCTTTCATCTTTACCCAGCTGACTCTGCCATCACTGCCCTCATACATCTGTCCTCTGTAGAGTGCTCTCGTAGCCCTTTAGAGACACTGGCAGCTGCCAGTTGTTTCTTGTGTAACATGTTTCCCACTCTGCTCAGGACCCTTCACAGTGTTCATTCCATGTCTGCAGCCTGAGCTGGTGCCTGCAGCCACTCTCCGTGGAGACCTCACAGAGGTCTGCTTGACAGTTGGATACAGGTCCAACTGTATGGCGGCCTGGGGTAGGCAGAGGCAGTCAGGGAGTCAGATTGGGAGAGTCCTAGAGCCAGGAGAGATCCAGGAAGTCCAAAGCATCTGAGACCACTGTTTTGTGGGATGCTTACTCTATTTTAGGACAGTTCAAATATATGTGTGGTGCCACAGAGGCCACAGTGGTTAAAGGGCTTGTCCTGCCTCACTGGGATTTGCACATCTAAGTGTGTTTCTTAAAGCTAAAAGCAAAACTTGCCTCTTTAATTACCTGTCCCTGGCAGTGGCAACGGCAGCGGGAAGCAGGGATGCACACCCTGAAACCCCAGACTGGAAGAGCTGACTTCCAACCCTGATAGCACATTGTCCACACTGACTCAGCATGCCCCCACTTGGCAGTGCCTCAGGGTGGTAGGGGTGGGCCCTGGCTATGAATCAGATACTTGTGGCTCAAATCCCTTTGCTTATTATAACCACCCATCCTAGCTTAATTTCCCTTTCCTTTAAAGTTAAATCCTTCCTTCCTTCCCTCCTTCCCTGTTTTTTCGAGACGGTTTCACTCTGTAGCAGCCTTGGCTGTTCTGGAACCCTGTCTTGAACCAGTTCTGTAGACCAGGTTGGCCTTGAACTCACAGAGATCCACCTGCCTCTGCCTCTGCCTCCCAAGTGCTGGGATTAAAGCTGTGTGCCACCACCACCTGGCTTCTCGAAATCTAACAGACTTGACGAAACTTCTGGCCATTGTCCTTTCATATCAGTATGAATAAGCCAGATGTCCAGGGAGCTAGCAGTCCAGGGTTCTGGTCCTTTTTGGGCTGGGGTGATCTCTGAGCCTTGGTTTTTGCCATTTATTTAGTTAGTTATCTGGGTCTAAGCACACTAAATTCTTGTGATTTTACACTTGCTGTTGTCTGGCTGCATCCTGAGCCATGTTTTCAGGGGAGAGAGTGGGATATACACTATTTACATCTTAAGTATAATTTGTCTTTTCACACTGTCTTGATTTCCATGGCTGGCCCACTGTGCGCCTGAGGGATGGGGTATATATTAGGCACTGCTATGCATGAGCCTGTGGTGCCCTTGCAGGCCCAGCCGCTGCCTTCCTAGCACCTCCCCGTCCATTGAGGTTGCAAATGGTATAAGGTGGTGCTCAGTTTCAGCATCCTTGATACTCTGGTTAGAGGGGTTTCTGCTGTTCCCTAGAGTGGCTTTTCTGCTTCTGATGATTCTCTATACGCTAGGATTCAGAGGAGTTAGTTCCCTTTACCCAGGCAGGCATTGTGAAAATTTTCAACCAATGTTAACAGTTAGTTACATGTGCAAAGCCTTAGGTTCAATTCCCAGTACCACCAAAAATGCAAGAGAAAAAAGAAAGGGAAGGAGACTTAGTGTGTCAGTAGGAGAACCCTTGCTTATCTAGCATTCCTAAGGTCCTGTGTTCCATCCTCATCTGTAGTTTGCAGACACTCAAGTGCCTAACGGTGGCCTTCATTTGCCATACGATGTCATGGGCACCTGGATTTTTCTATGCACACCATCTCCCATGTGTCCTTTTGAAACCATCAGAGGTGATTGTAGAAGCCCTCGTGTATCTGGCTTTTCCTGCTGTTCTGCCCTCCATCCCTCCCTTCTCTCTTTCCTTTTTTTGAGACAGGCTCTCATTATGTAGCCCGATCCATCTCCTGCTGTCCCAGGCAGGAGTGCTGGGACTAAAGGTGTGAGCCACTAAGCCCTGCTCTCCTTCCCCCTTTTCTTTTCTCCATGTAGCCCTGGCTGTCCTGAAACTAGCTCTGTAGACCAGGCTGACCTTGAACTCAGAGCCCAGATCGCCTTCCTCTGCCTCCCAAAAGCTTACCTTTCTACCAGTTTCCTACTTAATGCCACTAAGCGGTTTCACATTGGAGTTTTTGTTTCTATTTTTGCTTAACGTGGCCTTACCAGCTCACCCTATCTTACCACCCCACATGATCCCTTTGTAATTTGGGGCCAAGACTCCCTCTCTCCCCCTACCTGTTTTGGAGTCCACCTCTCTGTGGTTTTGTTCCTCAGTACACACATTGGCCTCGGGGTCTTTGTTGTTTCTGCTTCAGCGTCTTGTCTGTGTGACTCACTCCCTGCCTCAGGGCTGCTTTGGTTTGAGGTTACTTTCTTGTTAAGACCTCCCCTGGCCACCTCTCCCTCACAACTGTCTCCCTTGACTGTCCACTGTCTGCCTCCTCCCATCCCTTTTAACACTAGGACATGCTTTGCCTGGGTTTGCTGTGTCTCTTACCGCTGTCCAAGTAGCAGCCCCTCAAAAGCAGGAATTTCTGTCTGCTTTGTGTTCTGCTCATTTCTCTATTCAGGACATTATTAACTATTCAGGATATTATTAACTAAAGCACATTGTGGGTGCTTTAGTTGATGGGTCCTAGCACATCGTGGGTGCTTTAGTTAATGACTCACGGCTGCCCTTTTGACAGCCTCAGTCCTTCCTGTGGGCCTGAGTTCTTGTCCATCTCATGCCTGCTCTGCCTGGAACCTCCCTGTTCCTCAATAGGGACTTGGGTCTGGGCCTGAGAGTGTACCTCTAGAATTTGGGTGAGCTGTGCAAGCATTTCTGAACTTCTTTTCATTTTCCTACAAAAAATGGACAGAGAAACAGCCCCCTCTGTGTTGAATCGTGGGATGGGGTTACAGCAGGTGCTCAAGTGACCACTACTGGTGTTTATTGCAGCCTTGCTGTGACTCCTTGGGGGTGGGGGTCTGGAAAGGCTGCCTGCTGCTGCTTTTCCCCAGAGGTGGTGGCATGCGATACTGATTTTTTGGAGTCCGTATGGGAAAGGAGGGTGGCTCAAGGCTGATCAAATAAGGAACTCTGCCCTGCTCACCTTCCTGTAGGAGGGAATAAGCCTGTCACCTGAGCCTGGGAGAGCTTCATGTGATTTGCTCTGGCCTGGTCTGGCAGGACTGATGGGAACCACAATTGAGCCTCAGGCTTCCTAGCTGGTATGCCCATAACAGTCTCAAAAGAGGGGTGGGCAGTTTGTTATCAGCCTTTGTTCCCAGGCTCTAATGCTAATTCCCCTGGGCGTTTCAAGTCCCATCCTTCCTGCTTCTGCAGGTCTCCAGCAGCTGCTTCTGTTCTTAGGAGGGGTGGAGGTGGGGACTGGGGTCCTCACAGAGTGGTTCCCAGTTCTGTTCCCTTTCAAGCTTAGGCCTCAGTTGCTCAAGAGTGATTTTCTCTGCCTTTCTACTCCCTGCCCGTGTGTGCTCTCTGCTTCCCTCTTAGCACATCCATGTGGGCAAGGCAGCCACGAACAGCTTCAGACACTCAAGCTGATGCTCACTGGTCTCCCTCCGCACTGGCTATCCTCCTCGGTGTTTCCATTCACCAAGTCTGTCCTCACAGGGCCTTTGTACTGCTGCTTGCCCTACCTCTCTCCACTCTAAGCTTTGCTGAGGAATCACTGCTGGGAGACTCATCTCTAGACACCTGTCCTGCTTTCCATGTTCCTATTTATCAGATTGGCTATGCATTTTGTTTTCTGTTCTACTCTGAAGGTAGACAGCCTGGATTCCAGCCTGCTGGAGCCCCAGTGTCACCAACTATTCAAAGGGGTGACACAGATCCACAGCTGCCCAGGCTGCCATGAAAAGCAGGAGGGGCCTGAGTGCAGCCCTCACTTCAAAGCCTCAAACTGGCAGGGTAACCCTTGTTCCTGGTCACTCAGGGTGTGGGGAGGTGACTTCTCAGCTGTGTGACTGCCCATCCAGTTAGGTGGGACGCACTGAGTGGGGGTGCCGTCCCACACTGCCTCCTTCCCGGGGATGCCCCTGCCTGAGCACCAGTTCTACCAGGGTGTGAGGGAGGGCTGTGCGCTGCTACCACCCTAGATCTTGCTGAGCTCACCACAGAAGTTGGTTGAGGTATAGATAAGCTGCCCCCAGAGTTCCCATCAAATAACAGCCACCTCCTTCAGAAGATGGGTTGTTACTGTCAGATTCTTTGTAGATAGTGGCTCACAGGCTTTCTCTAGCCCTCTGAGCAGGCTGTGGTGACTCCTGGCTTTATTGTTTGTTTGTTTGTTTTGTCTTTATTTTTTGAGACAGGGTTTCTCTGTGGCTTTGAAGGCTGTCCTGGAACTATGTCTTGTAGACCAGGCTGTTCTCAAACTCACAGAGATCCACCTGCCTCTGCCTCCCGAGTGCTGGGATTAAAAGCAAGTGCCACCACCGCCTGGCGACTCCTGGCTTTGTAATTTGATGGTGACTGGCACCTGGGAAGCAGCATACAGCATTGGCTTTTATGTTTATTGTTGTCACTAGAGGAATCTGGCTGAACCCAGCTGTGGACGCAGCAAACTGAGGTGAGAGCTTTGACCTCTTATCTGTAAATGGGAAGACTGAAGTGAGGGTCACATAAGGTGTCTAGCAGGAGCCTGGCAGGGGCTGTGATAGTGGCAGTGGAGGAGCAGCCAGGGTCATGGTGCTAGGAGTAGAGGCTCAGCAGGCAGTGGCCCTGAAAGGCTGGCTACTTCAGCCTTTCCTCACCCGTGGGTGTTCTTTGATTCTTTGTTTTTCTTTTATTGAGGGCGGGTGAGCGGGTGGGGGGTGTCAAGATAGGGTTTCTCTGTATTGCCCTGGCTGTCTTGAACCGTGCTCTGTAGACCAGGTTGACCTCAAACTCACAAGACGAGCGCCACCACTGCCCAGCTGATTGTTTTTCGTTTCATGCTTTTCGTGTGTTTGTACAATTATGTTATCATAGTCTTATGAAAACACTCGGCAGTGGGGCCTTGCCCTGTCCCTGATAGGACTGGAGTGGGGGTTGATGCTCCACATTAAGCTCATGTTCACTTGCCCCATGTTCATCTCTCCTGTCTGAAGGGAGGAGGTGCAGGAGAATTGTGTACGGTGGCGGAAGAGGTTCACCTTTGTGTGTAAGATGAGTGCCAACCCCGCCACAGGCCTGCTGGACCCCTGCATCTTTCGAGTGTCGGTGCGCAAGGTGAGGTGGGTTCGTGTGGCTGAGCCAGAGCTGAGGGTGGGTGTGGGACTGACCACCTGCGGTTTTAGGCCCCTTTTCTGTCATGTCTACTGCAAGGGGAAATGTGGCCTGTTCCCCTGCCCTCTGTGTTGTTTTCATGGTGCTTTGGGGAGCTCTCCGAGAGGCCAGGATTTCCTAGTCAAGCCCTCTGTGTCTCTGTCTCTGCAGGAGCTGAAAGGCGGGAAGGCTTATTCCAAGGTAAGAGGGAGGGCCTTGCTTCACACCACTCCCTTCCTTCTTCCCTTTCCTGGGACTTCACTGGTTGGGCTAGGAGCTGGTTAAGAACTTATCAGAGCCGGGCGGTGGTGGTGCCCACCTTTAATCGCAGCACTTGGGAGACAGAAGCAGGCGGATCTCTGTGAGTTCGAGGCCAGTCTGGTCTACAGTGAGTTCCAAGACAGGCTCCAAAGGTACACAGAGAAACCCTGTCTCAAAAAACAAAAAACAAACAAACAAAAAAAAGAGCTTAGCAGAGATCACCCAGCCTCTGCTTCCTAATTGCTGGAACTAAAGGGGTGTGCAGTGTGCAACCACAGCCAGCTTTGTGTGTGTGTGTGTGTGTGTGTGTGTGTGTTGTGTGTGTGTGTGTGTGTGTCTGCGCGCTACAATTTTCTAAGGAAAAGAGATGCACATACAAAACTGAGTAGGCGTGCATATGACTTAGAGAAACGGGAAGGGGGCGCTGTGTGCACGTGTGCTTGCTTGTAAGCAGCCTTTGTTCAGACTGATGTAAAGAGTGTGCAGCTTGAGCCTCTTCCTTACCCAGGCTAGCATGCACATCTTTTCAGGTCACCTCAGCTTTCTGTGTTCTTCCTAATGGCAGCAGTGATATAGATTCAGCCATTCACTGCTGTTGTAGAGCTGTGTTTACCTTCCGCCCTAACCCCTACTCCCCCTCCTGGCTTCAGTCCTAGGAGTAAAACCTTTCCTATGGGAAGAATTGGGGACTATGACCTAGCTTTGAATGAGCATGCTCTGCCCTCCATCTCTCTTCTCTGGGGTACTCCTGGCCAGCCCAGCATGGGCGGGACTGCGTCTTCCCTTGTCCTATCTCTTACCCTGTGGGAGTACCTGGGATCAAGGTAGCATGGGCTCTGACGTCCCCACTGCTAGAGCTCCAGAAGCCCACAGCTCTGTGTGCCTGCCCTGGCCCAGCAATGGAGGGGCTGACAAGGTACAAGTGTCGGCGTGTGAGGACCGCCAGTGTACAGCCAAGGAGCCTTCAGCCCACATCAGAAGCAGCACACCTGTCCCTGCTGCTCCGTAGCAGGGCCTCACCATGGGCTTTATCTATGATGCAAAAGAGGAAAACGGGGTCCCTCTGAGTATTTGGATTCTGAAGCCTGTGCCCCTAAACACTGTAGTAGAGACCTCTATGTAACTGGTGTACAGTAAATGTCCCAGTTAGTTTGCCGTCATGGTGACCCCCAAGCCTGGCATCCTCTCAACTTCAGCCTCAGTTCCTCCATTCAGACAAACTTGGATTCCATCCGATTCATCCCTGTGGCCCTGCTCGTCTGTGCTGCCCATCTGTCTCTCATCTGTACACATCTCAAGAGGAATACGTGCAGACTGGTTGGAGGAAAGTCCTCCCCACGAGCCTGAGCACCAGGACAGAGGAAGGGCTCAGTCCATATGTCAGACTCTTTGCTCTTCCCTCCCCCGGGGGTCCCGCCCACTCTGTAGTGTTGTATCACCTCACCCTACCTCAAGTTCCCACGGGCCTTCCCTTCTCCTCTGCCTGCTCTTCTGTGAGCTCCTGACAGCATGGCCTTGTTCCCTGGGGAACAATGTGTCTGTGTTACAAACAACAATGTCCTTTCGTCTCAGGCACACTGGCCCTAGTGCACCCTGGGACTCCATACAAAGGGTGCTTTGTGCCACTCAGGGATGTGAGCTCCTTGCTTTGTTACATTGGTGCTGCTGACCCAGGACCCTGTCCTTGAGTCCTGGTTATGAAACAGCCAATTGGGGCTGTGGGGTGGTGAGCCTGTTGGGGCTGTGGGGTGAGCCTGTCCTCCCCTCCGCCCTCCCAAGTTAACCCCTCTGGTGCATCTGTAGCACCCACACTCTCTGCAGCCTCCCATGTTTTCTTTTCCCTCCCAGCTGGGTTTCACTGACTTGAACCTGGCTGAGTTTGCAGGCTCAGGCTCCACCGTGCGCTGCTGTCTGTTGGAGGGGTATGACACCAAGAACACCTGCCAGGACAACTCCATCCTCAAGGTACCTCCAGTCTCTTCTGTCTTCCCAAGGGGTAGGGACAACAACTGTAGCTCCTCATCAGAAAATAACGGAGTTCTCAGAGATGCTGGGAGGATGTGGGTCCCTAGGTCGTGGTCTCAGTTTTCCCATGCATGGTTGGGTGTGATCCCCGCCTTCCAGAGGGTTTGTCAGGCGCCTTTGTCAAGGTGAACTTTGTACACATACCTGTCCTTATCTATCTTGTGGCCCTCACAGCAAGCACAGCTGATGGGTGTGGTGTCTGTCATTAGCTCCAAGTTTGAATAGGAGGGAGTCATAACAGAAGTTCCATCATTTACCCTATCTCCGTAAGCAGAGTTAACACTTAATCCCACCAGTCATTTAACTGCACAGCCTAGCTCCTAATTGTTGCCCTTCATGTTCTGAGACTTCCTGTCACCTGGTGAGGTATAGGCGAGCAGAATTGATGTTCTGGACCCATGAGCACCATTGGGGCATATGCTCTGAGAGCTCCAAGGCAGGCCTGTTCTGCTGGCCACTCAGGTTTCCAGAAGCCCAGGTAGCTCACTTCCCTCAGGCAGCTGGTAACTTGTCTTCTTAAAAAGAAAAGAAATACCCAAGTGTCTGAACCAGAACACCTCTTCCTCCCTTTCCATACCCTTTTTTACGGTCTGACGAGAAAACCGGTTTGTCCTAACACCAACCCTGAGTTGACCTAGGAGTGGCCAGCTGTACCTGGCACAGAATTAGGCTTGAGGTAGTCGACAGAACTTGAAAAACACCAGAATAGGTTTAGGCTTGTAGATGTGGTTGCATACTGTGTAATCCTAGAATTTCAGGTTGGGGTAGGAGGATCATGAATTTGAGGCCAGCAAGACCCTGTCCTAAAAATAAAAAATAGCCGGCTGTGCTGGTGTATGCCTTTAATCCCAGCTCTCAGGAGACAGACAGGAGGATCTACTTGTATTCCTGGGCATTCGGAATTACACTAGACCCTGTAGAACGTGAAAAAAAGAATTGGAAGGGCTCAGACTGGTTAGTGGAAACTCTTCCCAGTGGTCTGTGCACTCACGGAAGTGGAAGAGGCCTGGAGCCAGGTGACCTCAGGTTCAAGGCCAGTTCCCCTATATCCTGTCTGTTAAGTTTTGGAAAGTCAGCTATCCTTAATCTTGCTTCCCTCACCTGCAACGGGGTCTGCCACCTATTTGTAGACTTTTACGTGGCTGATTAAAATGATCCATAAAATATCCCTAGCCCAGAGGTTGTGATGACACCATTACACTGAGGTCACTGGTGGTCTGGGATTTGAGCATTTCTTTCCCGTTCTGTTACTCCATCTCTGCTCCCCCCTTTTTTGGGGGGGTTGGTTTTTCATGGCAGGGTTTCTCTAGTAATAGTCCTGACTGTCCTGGAACTCACTTTGTAGACCTGGTTGGCCTAGAATTCACTGAGATCCTCTTGCCTCTGCCTCTCAAGTGCTGGGATTCAAGGCTTGCGCCACCAAGGCTTGGCTTCAGCCCATATTTTAAGGTTCAAACTTAACCATGTTTGGACCACTGGCAGAGTCATTTGCAAGTGGGTTCTAAATTCCATACTGGTTGCATATTTCACTTCATTTTTAAAAAACTTTTGCCGAGCCATGGTGACGCACGCCTTTAATCCCAGCACTCGGGAGGCAGAAGCAGGAGGATCTCTGTGAGTTCGAGGCCAGCCTGGTCGACAGAGTGAGTTCTAGGACAGCCAGGGCTACAGAAAACAAAAGCAAACAAAAAACTTTCAGCTAGCTGCTGCTTGCCATGGTGGTCCCTGTGGGCATCCCCTATTCCTTGTGGGGCTCCTTGAGCTCTGCTCCCCTGGAACTCACAGTCCACTTGTAATGTATAATTGCAGGTGCTGACTAGCTGCACTCAGGTGGTAAGCGCCAAGTGAACCTTGTCACTCCTTCCCCTGGGCTGCCCACTCTGTCCTCCACATAGGACACAGGGCTCACTGTTGGCAGGTAGAGCCCAGAGGCTGACCTGGGCTGCATGTTGGTAGCCAGTGCTGATTTCTCTCCTCTACCAATAGGTCACCATTGGCATGTTCCTGCTCTCTGGAGACCCCTGTTTCAAGACGTGAGTGTTACCTTGACTGTTGGAGGGCTGGGGGAGGGGCCATGAGAGATTCTTCATTCCTCCAGGCTCTGGAGTACCTGTCTTCATCTGGTCCTGAGATTCGGGCACCCTAGTCATACCCCTCTGTTCTCCCAAGGCCACCATCTACTGCCAAGTCCATCTCCATCCCAGGCCAGGACTCCTCCCTGCAGCTGACCTGTAAAGGTGGTGGGACCAGCAGCGGAGGCAGCAGTAGCACCAATTCCCTGACTGGGTCCCGGCCCCCCAAGACTCGCCCCACCGTCCTGGGTTCAGGTACCGTCTTCATGTGCCTATCTTTCCACTGCCTGTGACTTCAGCGTCCTGTCCCAGGAAGATGCCTATCAAGAGGAGGGTGCAGGCATAGTGGCGCACACCTTTAGTCTGGTAGCTCAGACAGGCAGGAGGCTCTCTGGGTTCCCGGCTAGCCAGGGCACACTGTGGGCCCCTCTCTCGGAAGGTGGTGGGGTGGTGGAAGAGGACACGGGCCTCCGCTGCCATTGCGTACGTGCTGAGTGCCGTGGTGGCCTCAGCCCCACACACCCTCCCAGAAGCTCCCTCAGAGCAGGCAGGCAGGCAGGGAGGCCTTAGATGGCTGGTGGCACATGTTGCTCTCCAGCCCCACGAGCTATGATGGACCTAACCACCAGGGCTTGACTGTCGCCCTGGGTGCTGCTGCTGCTGCTGCCTGCCTTGGCTTGGCAAGTACCATTGCTCTCTAGCGAGTGGAGGCTGGGGCTCAGAGGAGAGAGCTGTCTAGACCAGGGCACCTCAGTGTCGATGCTGCCCTTGTGTAAACTAAAAGGCAGTAATTCTCTCCTAGCAGAGTGGCACTTGAGGGCCCATGCGCCTTTGCAGCTGGTTCCTCTGCCATAGACACAGCATGTTGAGAACTTGAGATCTGCCTGAGCTAGTGTGGTACCTGCATGCAATCCCAGTGTGGGAGGGAGGTGGAGACGAGAAGATCAGAAGTTTACATAGCACGTTCAAATCTACCTGGATTACGTAGGACCCTATCTTAAAATTAAAATAAAAACTCTGGGCATGGTGGTACACACCTTTAATTCCATAAGTCAGAGGCAGGTGGATCTCTGAATTAGAGGCAGCTTGGTGTATATAATGAGTTCTGGGCCACTTGCCTAGTGAGACCCTATCCAAAAACAAACAGACAAACAAAACCCTGCCTGGTTTTGGTTGGGAATATGGCAGGCCTGAATCTAGCCTCAGCCCGGGTGTCCATGCTCCTCTCTGGAGTGGAGGAGGTTGGCAAGGCTGGAATGTTGGCATCTGCAGAGCCATGCCTAGGTCCCACCTAGTTTCTTATGTTTACAACTGGTGCCAGGAAAGTTGGTTTGAATGACCTGCAACATAGCTGTTGGCCTGACTCTTGCGGGCTTGTCTGTTGTTCCATCCTCCTCCCTGCTGGCTCTTCCTTTCCCAGATTTGCCCGTGAACCCAAGTTCACTCCAGTTTCAAGGCCTCTAGTATGCTGTCCCGTGTGTCTGGAAGAGCCCTGTCCTTGCTGCCTCCTGGGAAAAGGCTTGCCCAATCCACAGACTGACCAGGCCTCCATGGATGCTGTCCCTCTCCAAACCACTCACCATGGTTGTGGATAATGGTCTCAGCCTTTGTCCTCAAAGATCTTTAACAGATACTCTACTTGTGGAATGGGTGACCTATGGTTCTGAGGGTGGCCTGTGGCTTGAGGTAGATTGCTGCCTATAGCCCTTGAACTTCAGTCTGTGGACTGGAATCCCATGGAAGTCTTGTTGAGAGGAGGATTGTGGGTGAGGTGGTACCTTCGTAACTTTGCTCCTTTCCCCAGGACTGCCAGAGGAGCCAGACCAGAGCCTGTCCAGTCCTGAGGAGGTGTTCCACTCTGGCCACTCCCGAAACTCCAGCTATGCCAGCCAGCAGTCCAAGCTGTCTGGTGAGTGGTCAGGCCTTAAACTTGGGATCTCCCACAGCCCTGGGCCCCCGTATTCACCTTCCCAGTATTGTCCACCCCCAGGTTACAGCACAGAGCACTCTCGCTCCTCCAGCCTGTCTGACTTGACACACCGCAGAAACACGTCCACTAGCAGCAGTACCTCTGGTGGCCTCAGCATGGCTGTGGAGGGTCCTGAGGGCATCGACAGGGAGCACCACCCCCCTGAGAAACCACCTCGGCCTCCTGAGAAGCCACCACGGCCTCCACGGCCCCTGCATCTGTCAGACCGCTCGTTTCGGTGAGTCCTGTTATTTGGGACTTCCTGGTAAACAGAACACTTGCTGTCCTCTCTACTTCTTTGCATTTGACCACACAGGGACAACAAAACAGATTCCCCACCTCAGAGTGTTGAATGGTTATGATTTAACCGTTGTTGGTTGCAGAAGCATAGCTCTTGCTTACCCAGTGCTGCTGTTTGTGGTTTTGTGTATTACTCTGTAGACCCAACAGACCTTGCTTGAGCCTTAGATCCACTGCTTACATGTGGTTTGGCTTCAAGCAGGTTACTTAGCCTTAGTCCTAGTCTGTCAGCAGCTGCCCCTGAAGGCGAATGGGGGCGCTGAATGACGCAGCCTGGGATGTGCGTAGCGTGTTCTGGGGCTGTAGGTGCTGGGGCTGTCCTTGTCACAGTTCTGTCCCTCACTCCCAAGGCGAAAGAAGGACTCCGTGGAGAGCCATCCAACCTGGGTAGACGATACGCGCATTGACGCAGATGACATTGTGGAGAAGATAATGCAGAGCCAGGACTTCACTGATGGCAGCAATACTGAGGGTGAGCTGCCCACTTGGGGCCAGCTGGGGTGATGGTGGTCTCCAGAGGCCACCCCTGCCAGCTCAGCCTCTCCCTTCATTGTGTCCCCACAGACAGTAACCTTCGGCTGTTCGTGAGCCGTGATGGCTCCACCACACTGAGCGGCATTCAGCTGGCCAACAGGTAGGGACTGGGGGTGGAGGTGGGGATGGGGCGGTGTAAGGGAAGCCTTTTCCTCGAGAGAAGCCTTCCCACCAGCCTGGTTCTAGAGCTGCATCAGTCCCATATAAACACAGGAGTCTATATTAATTATGAAGCTGTTGGCCTTGCTTGTTTCTTACTGGCTAGCTCTGACTTAAGTATTTACCCCATAATTGTTAATCTAAGTATTTCTCTTACTGGAGAAGTTTCCGGGCTTCCTACCCCATGGCATTACATCTTGACTCTCCTGTGTTTCTCCTACCCAGAGTCCTCCTGGATTCCTAGTCCCACCTATCTAGATTCCTGTTGGCCCAACAGTGCTTTATTGACAAATACACAGGACTTCCCCAACAGGGCGGGGGGGGGGGATGAGGTGGGGGGCAGGGGTGTGGTAAGGCAGGCACCAGAACCCCTGACCTGGCTTTGAATACCTGTTTTGTCACTGATGACCTTGGACCCACCCATCCCCAGAGTCCCTTGCTGTGTCTTCAGAGTTCTTTCCCACAGGTCTTTGTGCTGTGAACTCCAGTATTTCTGGCCCCCCAGGCCTTTGAGCCAGTGAGTGAGAGTAGTGTCCAGAATCCAGGGCTATCCTAGGACTTTCTCTTGAGTTCCTGGGAGCTAAGAACATGTATTTTGAATTTCTGGATCCAGAACCCAAAAACCTTTGTGAAAGGGGTGTCCTGTGCTGTTCTGGTGACCCCTGTTGGCCTAGGCTAGAAATTACAACTACCCTCTCAACAGCAGTCCTTCTGGGTGGAGGCGCAAGGAAAGTGAGAAGCTGGGATTTGGAGATTAGAGGAGAGAAACCTGGTTTCTACAAGACTTAAGCAGTGAAAAGACTAAATGCAGCCCCTTAACTTTTTCTTGCCTTCTTAACAAATCTTACAGTCCCTCCAAACCTGTTTCTTCATCTGTCTAATGACACAGAATAGTCCCTCTTTGCCAGGGTGGTACATCCAGATGTGTACACATTGATGTCCAGAGGGGATCAGGCACAGCCATGGACCCCCCTGGCTCTGATACTGTTTCTGTCACCCTGAGCATGTCTGGAGCTCAGTTTCAGCCAGTCTGTGAGAGACTGGTAGCTGTGATTGTGTGGGAAGTACCCAAGGGCCTGACCCAGGGGGAGTGCTCAGTCACTGACGATCAAAGGGCATATGCTCACCTTTCTCTCCCCCGCAGAGTCTCCTCTGGAGTCTATGAGCCCGTTGTGATTGAAAGCCATTGAGGGACCAGGTGACCAGCTGAAGAAGGACCCTGCCGCCTCTGCCACCCAGGCCAGCGGCATTCCCGAAGGAGCAGGATCTTCCCTTCGGATCTGCTCTGCATTGCGTCTGTGCCCCCTCATTCTCTAGCCACACCAACCCCAAAGCATCATTCCACGTCCTTCATCCAGCCTGGAACCACTGGTCCTGGGTGCCACTGTGAATATTGTCCTCAGAACCACTAGAAAACGGGGCACGATGGAACTGGCCAGGACTCCCCGGACTAGAGAGGACCTGGGCCCAGCAAAGAATACACAGCCACTGCTTCATGTTGGGGTGCTTGTGGCCGCCTTCCCCCAGACCCACTCACTTCAGGAGCAACAGCTTCAGCCAGGCTACCAAGGCTCTCGCTCCTTTGTCCTTGCCCTTCAGGAGCGGGACCACCCCAGAGTCCTGCCACCTTGGGCCTCTGCTTTGTGCTTCAGCTGTCGCTCTCTATCCTGAGGAGACCTGCTGGCAGCCTTCTCCTAGGAGCCAAGACCTCAGACCCCACCCTCATCAGATGCTCTGCTGCTCTGCAGCCTGCACTTTGCACATACTTGTCCCCAGCACAGCCGCTGGTCTTTGCCCTTCTCCAGGACTCCTGGGTGCTGTCTGCTGTGCAACCAAACCTAGGGTACAGTGGCCCGGCTGGAACGTGGCACTGCCCCCTCACTGTAATTATTCCCAGCTCGGACCCAAGACTAGAGCCGAGAAAGGTCTGAGCATCATGGTGCCATCTGCCCAGGGCTGGGTCCTGAGCAGCTGGCCTTCCTGCAGGAAAGGAGGGGTGGGCCCAGCTGTGCTGGGTAAGCAAAGGCCTCTTCCTCTGCTCTCGTGTCAGCAGGCCTGAGCTGGGTTCCGGGCTGGGGAGGCAGTCAGCCAGGTGGGCTGTGACTGGATGGACTGGAGCTGGTTCATTGCCAGACAAGCCTCAGGCCTCCTCTGGGCAAGGGGCATGCTTTCCCTGGGGAGTCTGGCCCTGTGCCCTGCCCAGGCCTTCCCCTTACTGCCCACCTTCTTGGTACAGCCCCGCCCAGCACTTTGTCTTATTATTTGCTTAAAGGAGGGTACTGGCTGCCAGTCGGCCCTGGATGAACTCCCACTCCTTTGAGCTTCTCTCATTTTGTATCAACCCAGCAGGCTGGCATTTCCTTAGCCCTGTTTAGTGTTTTCCTTTTCCTCCTGAGTTCACAGCTCTGAATCCCCCCCATCCCCCAGCAAAGGGAGGTAGGTGTCTCTGTTCGCCACTCCACCTGCATCTCAGCAGGGCTGGGGGGGGGTATGGGACACTGGTTCTATGGGTGGGAGATAGCTGGACTCCCAGGTCGGGAGGTTCCTTGCCCAGTTTCTGTCTTCCTTAACTAGCAAGTTGGGGCTGTGGTTTTAGAACTCCCTGGCGTTGGGACCAGAGCATTTCTAGGGATTTTGTTGCCATTGTTTCAAACACCTGGTGGCTCTTAGAAAATGAATGTGAGAAGGTGCTGCCTAGGCAGAGCACGGCTAGAGAAGGTTCTGCTCAGCTCAGTCCTTTCCTTCCCAGCAGGTACCTGGCATCTAAGGGATGCTGGCAGCTGTTTCTAGGTGAGGTGACCCCTAGAAGATGGAGATAGCATTATTCTTGCTTGTCTGTGACTTTGGCCAGTCAATTATTTTGGTCTGGTTCAGAATTCCAGGGCTCCAACATAAAGCAGTTGGTACTATCAGGAAGACTCTTCCAAACCAGGAGCCCAACCCAAGCCAAGGTGTGAACCAGATGGTCACTCCTGCCACACCCACCTGTTCTAGGCACTGTGCTGAAAACATGGCCACACCAAATAATCATTGGCAGGAGCTGGAGACTAAGAGCCTGTCTCCAGCCTAAGGGTCCTCTTGAGCTCAGTGATTCCCACAGGGTGCCCAGAGCACCTGGACTTCAAATTCTATATACAGAGATAGGATATATTAAGATATATTTTTGGAAAGGAATTGGTCTATGCAATGCCAGTTTGGAACCCTCTTGAAAGATAGTTTAATGTTTCTACTAGGGAGATATAAAGATCCACAATATTTTTAGGGTTCTTTTCCAGCTACCCCAACAACTGATCACACCGTATGGTCTGGCAGGAAGGAGGGGTGGGTCTTCCTCTGTGACGAGGTGATGGGGAGGAGTGTTTGCTTTTGTTCTACTCCCTCCTTTCTAACAATGTTGCCGCTGCTCCCCAGCCCATGGGCTGTTTGTACCTGTGTCTCAGCTTATAGTAGAATATAAATGTCATATGGGGTAATCAGCCTAGTGTCAGTGTTTGTTGGGGGGAATAAATGTTGATGTTTTTGTTACTCTGTTTTGTTGTTTCCTTTTTTGTTTGTTTGTTTTTCAAGACAGGGTTTCTCTGTGGCTTTGTAGCCCATCCAGAAACTGGCTCTGAAGACCAGGCTGGTCTTGAACTCACAGAGATCCGCCTGCCTTGTCGTCGTCCCCCGTCCCCCCAGTGCTGGGATTAAAGGCGTGTGCTACCACTGCCCAGCTCTTTTTTATTTAATTATCTCATTACCATGTTCTCTTGGGGACCAAAAATATATATATATACATACATATATATAGATATATATGGTAACATGCTAGGGAAAGTTTAGGAGGCCAGGGTATTCCAGTGCTGCCACCAGTCATAATCCTCACACCCTTAAAAACAAACAAGAAACACCCCTATCCCCTGACTGTCCTCGAACTCAGAGACCCACCTACCTCTGTCTTCGGAGTGCTGGGGTTAAAGGCATTCGTCACCACCGACCGGATGTGTTCTCTGACCTTTGCACATGCCCACTCCCCACAAACAGAAATGAAAATGGGGGGGGGGAGCTGGCTGGGCAGTGGTGGTGCACGCCTTTAATCCCAGCACTGGAGAGGCAGAGACAGGTGGATCTCTGTGAGTTCTAGACCAGCCCTGGTCTACAGAGTGAGTAGGCAGGACAGGCTTCAAAGCTACAGAAAAACACCGTCTCAAAAAAGAAAAAAACGGGCCGGGCGTTGGTGGTGCACGCCTTCAATCCCAGCACTCGGGAGGCAGAGGCAGGCGGATCTCTGTGAGTTCGAGGCCAGGCTGGACCGACAGCCTCCAGAATAATATAGAGAAACTCTGTCTCAAAAAACCAAAAAATAAAACAAGCAAAAAGCTGGGCAGTGGTGGCGTTCAACTTTAATCCCAGCAGTTTGGCGGCAGAGCAGGTGCATCTCTGAGTTCGAGGACAGCCCAGGGCTGTTACACAGAAAAACCGTGTCTTGAGAAACAACAACAACAAAAAGCTCCTTTGGTGTGAAGCCCACTCCGTTCTGGGCACTCCCCACTGCTTAGGCACTCTGGGCTTGGAGTACTAATCATCAAGGAAACGGGTGGGGGGGGCGGGGAGGGCGGGCACACAGCGGGAGCTGCCGCCTTGAGCAGACACTCAGAAACCTAGCAGTGGGCAGAAAGGGAAGGAATCAGCCAATGTGAGGGAGTATCATTACCTCTCTGCCGGTGGAACTCCTCCTCCTCAGTGCTGGCTTGCCTAGCCCCACCTCTCCTAGGCCAGTGGTGGTCATTCTACAACCTATTCAACAATTTCAGGACCAGGAAATAGAGGCTTTAAATTCTGGTGTCTGCTTCACCTCTGTCTCTTTCTGAGCCTCACTTTTCCTACGTGAAGTTAAAAAAAAACAAAAAAAAAACTTTACAACCCTGGGATGCAGCTTGCTCTGGCTTGGAACTGTGTGATGATGCTTAACAGAGGATTATTTGTTACGGAGGGGCTGACTGCTGTAGTCACAAAGACCAGGAAGTTTGAGTCCCCGGCAGCACGGTTGCCTTTAGAAACTACATTTCCCGACATGCAAAGTGGTTGGGGGAAACGTCCATCTTTGCCTGATTCGAGGACTACAACTCCCGGAGTGCCACTCTCGATTTACTAGCCGGAAGGTCCTGATTTAGGGACCGGATGTGTCCTGTTGCTCCAGCGAAACGCTGGGGAGATGGTGAGCCTGGGGTGCGGTACCTCTGTGATTTGGGGATACCAGGGGTCGGTCTGGCTTGGCGTTTCCTTTGGAGTTGGGGGTCGGGCTTTCCGAGCCCGGATTGCTTACCCGACTGCTTTGTGGACAGGTGTGACACGAGCCTCGGCGCGGCTTCCTAAACCGGAGAGCCGCTGCTCGTCAGCCCCCGTGTACAGCTGTTGAATGAGAAGCTTGGAGTGCACACCGGCCGCGCGGACCCTCCGTTAGTGCACTCCCAGCTGAGCCTTCCTTTTTCTCCAGGCCACCGGGACAGACCAAGTGGTGGGATTTGGCCTCGTCGCTGTTAGCCTGATCATCTTCACCTACTACACCACTTGGGTGATTCTTTTGGTATGTGTCCTCCCCACCTCCACCCGACCCGAGCTCGCCTTTACCCTGCCCTGGATCTCTTAACAAGCCGGCTCCTAACACGACTTAAGAAGCATCTGCATGCCAGGCACTGTGCTGGATGCTTGGCCTGCCTTAATCTCCCGAAATCTCCACTATGATTGCTGATGGCGTCTGCCTTTTATAGATGAGGCTGAGACCGGGGGAGAAGGGTAAGGCTCGGTCTCTCAACTACCGCACTGTAAGGTTAGCCAGCTCCTCCTGGGTGTAGCCATCGCCAGTGGATTTTATTAACACCTTGAGGCTTTCTCTTTTTCAATGTGGAAAATTCTGTTAGTTATTGCTTAAAAGTGCATTGGGTTTGAAAGGGGTGATCTTGTGGTACTTCGTATTCTCTAGAGAGGAAAGTTAGGAGAGGGCTGGAGAGATAGCACAGTGCTGCTCCTCAGGATTGAGGTTCAAGTCCCAGCTCCCACATGGCCACTTCCAGGAGACCCAGCACTAGGGCCTGGCACGCTGCTTATGTGTTAGGAGTTGCCTTGGAGCTCCAGGGCTTGGATGAGGTACATCTGCACACATGTATAATCAAAAAATAAAATAATTTAAAAAGACCTAGAGTTTCTGCATTCACAAGACAGAGGAAGGTGGGTCTCTCTACATAGCAAGTTCCAGGTGAGCCAGGGCTGTGTCATGAGACCCTGCCTCAGAAAACAAAAGGAATGGTTTCCAGTACTCAGTAGGCTAAGGCAGCGGTTCAAGGCTACCTGAGAGAGTCAAGATCCATACCCACACCTAGAAGGGCGGAGGATGGGAACCTCACAGATCCTGTGCTGGGCTGGGGATGCCCTCAGGGAAGGTCCGGTGCTCAGACAGAGGCGGTGGGACGGCCCCTCAGTGGGCTGGGTAAGGCGAGCAGCGCTCACCAGAGCTCTTGCCCGGTGCCAGCCCTTCATTGACAGCCAGCATGCCATCCACAAGTACTTCCTGCCTCGTGCCTATGCCATCCTCATCCCGCTGGCCTCGGGCCTCCTGCTGCTCCTGCTTGTGGGTAAGTCTCCCATTCTCCAAAAGTCTCCTGACTGGGGGGCAGGGCGTCCGGAAGGACTGCCACTCTCACCCTGAGTGTGGTTGCCATGCCTTGGCACCTGACGGGTCACCTGCCTGGAAGCTCCTTGTCCCCAGCCCTCCCTGGCGCTTTCCCGTTCCTCCTCAAAGGCTACGAGCAGAAACCCCTCCGCCTGCCCCAGCGCTTCAGGTTCCCGGGGCAGTAAGGGACGGTCTCCCGTTTCCTGTCCTGGCTTCCTCTCCTCTCCTCACACCTCCTGCCCTTCAGTCACCCAGCCTCTTCCGTCGCCTCTGCGGGGTGGGCACTGGACGGGTGCTGGTAGGTAGGAGGGCAGATGTGTGAGCACATGGGTGAGACCTGAAGCACTCAGAAAAGCTGTGTCCCCTAGGTGATGGCTGGGAGATGCTGCGTGGCCATGCGGCTTAAGGAATGGCGGTGAGGGTGCCTGCCGGGTGTCTGTTTGGGAGCCCTGGCCGCCCAGCCTTCCCTCTGGTCATTTTGCTCTGTGTGTTCCAGGGTTGTTCATCACCTACGTGATGCTGAAGAGCCGAAGGGCGACCAAGAAGGCTCAGTGAGGGTCCAGCAGGGATGAGAATGCCAGCCTTCTCCATTATCTTCCCCAGGGAAGGGACCAAGAGTCAGCCTGGCTGTGCTGCAGCTCTCTTTGGGAGGTGGGGCTTCTTACAGCTCAACTCTGACAAACTGGAGTCCTCTCCTATTCGTCCTTCCAGAAGCCAAGAAAGAGGAAGGTGGATTGGGAGACCCTCCCTCACCGCTTCAGGCTCATGGCCTGAACATTGCTAGTCCTGCCGACCTCGCAGTCAGAGCTCCCTGCCACTCCCACAGGGTTCTGCTCTCTTGCCCGTTTTCTCCTGCCATGTGCTGAGAGACGCAGCAGCCCCCCCAACTCGCCGTACAACCTGTCTCTTCACGTGGCAGCTCTTCTGAGTCTGCTGCTGTCAGGACTCCATGAGGACTTCTGGACCCAGAAAGCCCTAGGGGAAGACTAACAAACCACAGAACCCAGCTGGCCTGTTTGGGAAAACTTACAAATAAATGTTGATCATGTTAGTGTTATGTCTCTGCCATCCTTGCGTGCTTCAGGGAGACTGGCTGGAGGAGGTTCAGAGATTACCTAGTTGCGCAATGAGGGTATCACCTATGCTAGACACGGGGCAAAGCAGGAACAGGGACAGATCTGGTCCTGATTGGGTAAAAGTCACAGTTGGAGAGTCAACAGAAGCCTTGCATACCTTTTAAGGTCTTGTGTAGCCCAGGCTGGCACTAAACTATGTAGCTGAGGGTGACCTTGAACTTCTGATCTTTTCTGTATTTCACCAGGGCTGGGACTCCAAGGTTGGATCACCACAGCTGGGGTTTGAACCTAGGGCTTCATGCTTGCTAGGCAATCATTCTTCCTACTAAGACACATCCCCAGCTTCTCACTGGGTACTTAAGGGGACCCTGGGGCACTTGTAGAAACTTAGGCTTGTGTCCCTGGCCCTGGCTCCCTTCCCCCAGCTCTCATCTACACAACTGCTCTCTCCAGCCCCTTTCTTGATACAAAGCTACCGGCTCTTCCTAAAAAAAGAGAAAAGTGAGGGCCGGGGGCTGGAGAGATGGCTCAGAGGTTAAGAGCACTGACTGCTCTTCCAGGGGTCCTGAGTTCAATTCCCAGCAACCACACGGTGGCTCACAACCACCTACAATTCAATCTGTCCAGTGCCCTCTTCGGGCGTGTAGGCAGAACAGTGTATATGTAATAAATTTTAAAATCTTAAAAAAAAAGTGAGGGTCTCTGCACTAAGCTTTGCCTACGGGTCTGGCTTCCAATTGCTTCTCAAAAGTACATATTGGGCTAGGAGAGACATTTTAGCAGCTGTTCCAGAGGACCAGAGTTCAGTCCTAGCACCCGCATTAGGTGACTTCAACAACCTGCAATTCCAGTTCTGGAAGATTTGAACCTCTCCTAGATGCCACTGACAGACACACACAAGCACACAGACACACATGCGTAATTTTAAAGATGAATACACATTTTTTTAATTTTTATTAATTTGTAGTATCTTTTTTTTCAACAAATGTAACACGTTTTTTAAAATATTTGTTATGTATACAAATCTTCTGCCTGCGGGCCAGCAGAGGGCATCAGATCTCATTCAAGGTGGTTGTGAGCCACCATGTGGTTGCCCGGAATTGAACTCAGGACCTTTGGAAGAGCAGTCAGTGCTCTTAACCGCTGAGCCATCTCTCCAGCCCATGAATAAACTTTTTTAAGCCAGCATATCTAATCTCAACATCTTTCTCATCTTCACTTCTAGCTCCCCTCTGGGTTATCCCTCCCACTACCCCAAGGCCCTGCATGATAGGGACTGTCTCTAATTCCTACAGCCTCTGTCGTCTCTTGTGGGGAACACATCAAGTCCCTCTGCACCCCTACTCCCATCATTCCAATCTAAACTTCTCACGCACCACTTTGTGCTGGGCACTGAGCAGGGAGCTGAGGGCCCTGTGGCCCCTGCCCTGGTGGCACTCCCACTTTAAGAGGTCTGATGTAATAAACCAATGACATAAGCAAGACAATCACTCATGTCAGTGGTGGTGAGAATAAAGGCAAGTGACCCAGAGCGAGGGGCAGCATTTGCTGTCTTGAAAGGACCCAGGAACGACCTAGGTAAGTCAAAGTCCAGTGGGACGTCTACTAGGGAGCCTGGTAAGTGGGAAACTTGGAGGTGGCAGCTGAGGATCAGGGCAGGCAGGTGTTTGGTGTGGAGTCTAGAGGAGGGCAGATGGCCTGGGTTGTGGCGAGGTGTTTGAATTCTGTTCCACTGCCAAGGAAAGTCACTGGAGGCTTAAAGTACAAGGGTGGCACCATCCCGTCTATGCTTTTAAAAGATCCGGCTAGCAGCTTTGTCCCCCCAGCAAGCTCACTACGAAATCCCCGG